AGTCTCTTTCGTTCTGTTTCTACACTGTCATCTTAGAGTTCTGTCACTGAGAATGATTCCTGGACATCTCCACCAGTCCTCGCTCTTACAGATAGCAGGGGCTCTTCTGACATCCCTGACCAGCCAAGGGTCTTCACCCGCACCACCTTTCACCCACATGAAAACATATACACAGACACTCCAGTTTTTGTTTTTGCATGAAATTGTATCTCAGTCTAAGGTCTCATGCTGTTGCTGCTACTGTCTTACTATTATAGCAATTTTCAGAAGTAATTTTACAATCTGGGAGTCACGAGCCCATTGTCTCGTTCATTGTGCATCAGTTGTCATCTTTCAGTTTCTGTTCTTCCCTAGCAGTGAAGGCTAATTGAGACACACTGATTCTAGGTACATTCTTACCTTCTAGAAGATACATCAGGAACTAATTAGACTAAGAAGAGTTAGTTATATTTCTGAACAAGCAGTTGTTGAGGGGTGGTGGTGTGCGTATGTAAGGTTAGCACCGCATGTCTGGTCAGAGCATAAAGTGCGTGTCACTGATATCTGCCTGGAATTCCTTAGGAAGCATTGAGAGGACTGAAGGGCCGATGAGATACACATGACTTTTAATTCCTGCTGGATGGTGTGGAGGAAGCCCAGTGTCGCCCATGGACACCCAGACTTCACGGGCAAATGGCCGTTGTTCCACCAATTACTGAAGGTGCAGAGTCACCTAGAGGGTCTTAGGATCTACATTGTACCAGAGAGTATTTTTCCCCTGGGCTTGGCAACCTTTTCCCTTCTTGATATTTATCACCTCTGATGGCTGAAGAATGTAGACAGTATAATGACCCTGCTGTCGCCAAAATCTATACACCAAGGTGAACAGGTGTTTGCCTTACCAGTTCTGAAGTTTTCCTTTCAGTTATAGGTGAATTAGCTTTTTCTCAGATGTTAAAACTTTGAATGTCCTTTTATGATTTTGTTTCTATTACAGTAGTATTTATTTTTAGTGATAAGAATTGTATTGTCATGTTAGCAAACGCAGTTCCAACTCACAGGACACTGACTGCGGTTTCTTTTGAACCGTGTGCAAGGAATGTACACACCCATTAGAATCATGCACTTTTTCTCCTTTGTATAAAAATTGGTAAGGCTCTGGAATTGTATCTGTTGGTTAGAATCTGGCTTTGGGAGAAGAGATGCTGTAATTTAACCCCTTGGTGCTGAAATGAGAAAATCCCCAATGCCAAGGGGTTGGTGGAGCAAATGGATGTTGATGGTTGCTCACTTGAGTGGATGTGTGAGTATAGCCTGGCATAAGGTAATGGAGAAAGCTGAGACCCAAATGATAAGAAATGAACTTTACTTGGCAAAATGAACACATCACAAATATTTACACAATAGGAAGCAAAGGACAAGAAGCTGGTGTGTTTATTCTTATCAAGGTACATTCATTACTGAATCAAGCCATCAGGGAAAACAACAGAACAAAACACCTCTAGCTTTTCGTTTTCTGTACATATTCATGTCTCCCAATCCCAAACATTTCTCACTGAGAGGGGACATGTATGCAAACCTCATCTTTCTCCTTCATTAATGATGATCTTCAGATTAAACCCTTTGGTGCTAGGAGCTGACACTTTCCAAAGCAGACTATGAAGTCCAAGGATCAAAGCCTTTCTTGCAGCAAGCAGGAGGGCGTGTGCTCCAAGGAGTGATCATGGAGATGTATTAGTCTAGTCACTAACTGACAGCTCCCAAATGGAAGACTGCAGCGTGGCATAGTAGTGTTCCTGCATTGTCTTTTTGAGTAGGAAGTCATGTTCTCATGCAGATGTCTTAGCCTCTAGGCTCAGACTTGGGGAAGCAGAGCCGCTGCTGGCAGTGGCTGGCCGCTGGGACTGCTGGGGTTTAAAGGGCATTTACTAAGGCAGCTAAGACGGATTCAGACATAGAGTTTGTCCTAATTTTTCATGTTTCTATGTGAGTGAGTTTATCTTTAGTGTGGAGTAGGAAGTTCAAGTAAACAGATGTTCATTTTTACATCTGTAGTCTTCTTTTTTCCTACTTAGAATTATGTTGAATGTTTCACATTGGCAGGAAAGTAGATTAGATGGTATGTCCTTTAAGTTATCTTGCATCCACTCTGTAAGAAAGAAATGTGAGAGGAAGAAAAGCAAGCTGAGCCTGGCTGATGTCAGAGCATCTATCCCTCCGAGGGAGCAGACCTGTACACTAAGCACACAGCTTCTTTTGTTCTGTCTCTCCTCACCAAGTCTTAAGGTGACTTCATGACCTTGGCCAAGGATACTTTCTAAAGATTAATGAGGGGCACTGACAGTGCCTCTGGCTGGCTATCCTCACACCTGGCCTTTGGTCCCCAGCCATTCGAGGGCTTTCTCTTTCCATCCCAAGGCTCCCTGAGTGTCACAGCAGGCATATTCTTGGCTTTGATTTCCAGAATTTTTTCCCTTGCGATCCCAGATATCAGTTAAATGGCAGAAGTCGAACAGAAGAGGTGTGGGGAAGAGATTCCTGTACCTAAGCTTGGGGTTCAGGCCACTAAAGTGGCCTGTACCCTGGAATCATTATGTCCAGATGCAGTCCTGGCTTTGTGATTCCAGCTCCTCCCAACTCCAGCTTGACCTCTTATGGTCATGCAGGGCTGTCTTGGAGGAAACTGGCCACTTCTGCTCAGACTGCTGGCTGGGTTGCTCACAGCTTTGCTTTCTGCCCTAATGACATAGCATTATTCCAGTATTGTTTCCATTTCCCACACCTAACCTCGAGCTTCTCCGAGCTGACTGTTCTCACAGGGACCACGTGCTTCTCCTTTCCTCACTGACTGCAGGGTCTCTACCACACCTCAGTGTACACACTTTGCTGCTACTGTCTGTACTGTCCAAACCACAGTTCCCTTAGCTTGCTCCTGGCAGTGCATTACAGGCAAGCATGAAATGTAAAGTATTTATTGAAATAAAAAGAAGCCTCTGAATTGGTCATCGAGTCACCTCCCTGTAGACTTGTAGTTTGTGACCTCTTTTGACTTCCTAGTTCTGCTAGATCCATGCAAGATCTGGTCATCTGGTTAAGGGTGTGGAACAGACACAGCTATGAACTTAGATGCTGTATCATTGTCACTGCTGGTCACACTACAGACGTCCCTTTCCTTACATATCTGACCCATAGGGTATAAAATAACTACAAAAAACTGGCTCTGTACACTGTACACCCTTAGTATTTCACAGGCACCTGGCAGGGACACACATTCCTTCCTTCGTCCAGACAGCTTAAATAAAGCCCTGTGTCAATCTGCTGCTTCTCTGTTGTTGTTGTTGGATATGGCTCTGGAACTGCAGAAAACGACATCTTGTTCTTTTCTGGAAAAAAATGATTATGGCCACAGCTGGAATTAAACAACCCTGTATGACGGTGTGACAGGAAAATAGGTAAATTCCTCTTAGATTAAAAACACCTAAGGGGTTATTTTTACATAAGCAAAATGCCAATAGCATGCTCACACAAACTGATGAAGGGCTAGGAGTGGAGTCACTGGCCAGAGCACTAGGCTTCGAGGCCCATCTGCTAGGATGCCAGAGACAGAATATGGTGCAGACCCTAAAGGTCTTACTAAGAAATGGTGTGGACCCAGGATTCTCAAGGAATGTAGCGTATCACTGATGTCTTCCTGACAACATACTGCTCCACACACTACCTTTGCAAGTGTATCTTTAACCCTTCATGGCAGTTTATAACTTAGGCATGAGTAATCAATGGCTAGAATGTCTGGATTACATTGACTCATTTTGGATGGGGCGTATTTCTGATTTTACCTCATAAGCTACAATTGTAGAATTTGGCTTTGCTCTTGTGATTTCAGCAGAGAGGCATGACTTTTGGGACCAGTTTATCAGACATGCATGTGTATTTCTCACAGCCAAATTTGGGGACATTCTTACATGTGCTGTCCTGAAAATCAACTGGGGTTGACAGATCCAGAAGGCTGAAATAAAGTGACCTCTATAACTCTTTACAGGTGCTATTTTTAGAATATTGTATAATTTATTCATGGTATACATAAACTAGAAGTGAGGACAGTTAAAATGTGTGACAGCTTTACGTCTAGCATATTTGATGAAAGCAGAACCTTGTGACTCAGAATAGGAGTTCTGTCTGAGGCTTGCACCTTTGACATGCCCCGGAGATGAGGATGGCCTGTGTGCTGTCAACACCACCACCACCTCCTTGGCCTAAGCTGCATGATTGTGAGGGGCGGGCTGAGCTTGGAGAAACCAGTCCTCTGCTGAGAGCCCTGGGCTGCTAGCTTGCTGGCTGGGAAAGGAGATGAGGTTGGGCTTGTCCCACACAGCCTTGCTTGCCCTTAGTGTCTCATTCCACCCTCAGACCCCATGACCATCTCAGCAGCCAGGCTTTTTTTTTTCTTTCTTTTTTTTTTTTTTTTAATTTAATTTTATTTTTTTGTGGTGCTGGGGAAGGAACCCAGGGCCTCACACATGTTGGGCAAATGTTCTACCACTGAGCTACACCCCAGACCTTCCAGTGTCCATTTGTATTCCTTTAAAGCATTTGAGGGCTTGACTGTATAGTAAAAATACTATTTTAGACTAAAAATATGATCTGTGTACAGATATTTGATATACTGTTAAGTAAATTTTCTAATTTCACATACATTTGTTTTTAGGCTCCTCTCAAATACTGCTATTGAAGACTAAAATCTGACACCATCGAGCCAAAGATGCCTTTTTTGGGGGGGAGGGGGCTGTTTTGTGTTGTTCAGAGAATGGAAAGGATAATGCAGAGTGCTTCCTGAGTACATGCAGTTCAATGGTAAATACTGGATGCTGGCTAAGGGTACACAAGTCTATCTCACAAAGGGGAGGACAGTGGCCGGCAGCAGCAGACGTGGTCTTCAGTGCACTTTGGCTGACTCAAACTTGTGCCTCTGTGTGTTTTGTTTGTCACTGCTACAAAATGAAAAGGAAACAGAACAACTCAAGTCTTTAGAGAGGTCATTTTATTAATCCCGTACGTACGTACGTACTCTAGAGTAGAGACAACATAAATCAGTGACTTGATGCTGTTTTGAGCACACACTCCAACTAGCCCAAGCCAGTTCATGCTGAAGCACTCCCTGTCTGTAGCCCAGGGACAGAACCATGGCATGAGGACCAGCCCCCCTGCAGCCCCAGGTGGTGTCTCCCTGGGGAGGATTCGGTGCACTGTGGCACATTAAGTACAAATCAGATGAATGTAAATATCTCTTTGTAAATCATTTATTTCACTCTGTTTCATCCAGGTCAGCAATCAGATTGTGGCATGCTGGGTAACTGGAAAAAAAATGATAATAAAAAGTAAGTTTAAATAGATCGTGGGTATTTGTTTTCTCATTTGCTAGTTTGGTCAGCTGCTATGACTGAAGTTTTGGAGAAAAGGTTTCTGTTGCTAAAAGTGTGGGAACCACATGTAGCCAACTCGATTGAAAGTTTGCCTCGCCCCTTGCCGGCAGAGAGCAAAGCAAGCCCTTGTTGTGTCTGAGTGTCAGGCTGTGTATCTCCAATGGTTTCCTTCTGAAAGCAGCCTGTACTCCAGGCCTGTGTGTACCTCTCCCTGAGGACAGCGGACATGATGACAGTGTGTCCAGCTATTGGTTAGAGAATGGATCTGACGTTACAGTGAGCTTTAAGGTAGGGAAGAATGAGGACGTCAGACAGTGTCTGTATAGAAAACCCAGAGGAGCCTCTGTGCCCTGCAGCTTCTGGAACATATCTAGATGCAGTTTGACATACTGACACTCCACCCACATGCTGGAAGGTGGGACCCATGGTACTGAGGTTCATTTCTAAGATTTTGCACTTACTGGTATGGGGGAGACAAGGGTTGGGAAAATGCTGGACCCCATTCCCCAATGACTACACTGACCTTGCACACAAGTTCCTGCCACACTAGGTCTATCAGATGTCTCCCTAGTTCTGCGGTGCCTTCAGTGCAAGACGACCAGCTACAGTGCTGTGGGAGCTGAGGAGGGCTGTCTGTGGGCGTCCTGGAGCTGCAGTTTCCACTGGGCCCAGAGGATGGAGCACAGGCCAGGGCCCGCCCAGCTTCAGTAACTAGAGCTAGAATCCAAGGGAGGACTCGCCTGGTGGAAGCCGTGATTATGTGTTGGGGACTTCTGAGTTGGAAGCCCAAGTGAGTCATATTGGAAATGCTCTTCTCTTCTTTGTCCTCTCCTTCCTTCCTTTCTTCCTTTCTTCCTTCCTTCCTTCCTTCCTTCCTTCCTTCCTTCCTTCCTTCCTTCCTTCCTTCTTCCTCCCTCCCTCCCTCCCTCTCCCTCCTTCCCTCCCCCCTCTCCTCCCTCCTCCTTCCCTCCCTCTATCCTTCCCTGGAAAAGGTCATGTGTACCTTTCAGGTACACATTACCATGTATGAGTAGTATGGTAGTGAATTTTAATTAACTATTAAGTAAGCAGAATGGTTTCCACACCAGGAATGCAGGTGGGGCTGTGGCAAAAGACAAGGTCAGTGCAGGACAGCCTAAGGTTAAAGATGAGGAACCTGTCAGAACTCATGGGAGCTCTGTTCCCAGACTCTTCCAGAGGGGCTCTTGGAACTTCTGTCAGTCTTCAAAGCCTGCCACCATCTGTAATCAGCAGACAGCGGGGCTCCGGTAGAGCTGACACCAGCCCTCACTGAGCAAGCAGCTCCTGGTCCTGAGAGGGACTTGCTGGGATGCCCTCCCCAGTGCTCTGAGGATAACCAGACAGGACAGGCTGCCTGGTATCCTGGGTCCCTAGACACTGGTCTTCTAACCCAAGAATCAGCACAAAGCATGGTAGGCACATTTCAGAAGACAGAGGTGAACGCACTTGGGCACAAAATCCCCGCTTGAGTGCAGACAGTGGCAGAGACTCCAGTGGCAGTGTGGAGCTCACGGCAGGGTCTATTAACCCAGCTCCAGGAAGTGCACTTCTGTCTTTGAGTGCCTGTGGCTCCAAGGTCATCTAGCGATTACTGGGCTCCCTGTTGATTCTTGACCCGCTCTTCTGAGGCAGGACAGTCCCCTGCTCCTGGAGCCAAGGGGCTGTCCCTCTCCTCAGTGTCAGGCGTGAGTGTGGGCAGACAGACACCCTGCATCCTTACTGCCACGGCACAGCGCTGCACTGGCCCTCAGTGCGTCCCTGCTGCACTGTCTCCTGGAGTGACGGTTCTCAAGGCTGCCTCAACTGTGCACAGTCACCCAGAGACAGAACCGTGAGTCACCATCACTCTGTCACGTATCTGCTGTCACTTGTCAGGGGTGTTACTGATGTGTATTTCTGTCCTCAACAGCACAGCCTTGGTGGTCTCAGTCCAGAAGAGAAGATGTGTGTCTAGGGAATGAGCCTGGGACAGCCATCTACCCTCCTGCCACCTCCCCTGTTACCATGACCCCTGGTGTGGCCCCCCTGGATCTGTGTCTGCCCTGGGAGTAGAAGAGACAGCCCTTTGATTTTTTCTGGCTGTAGCCCGATGCTCCTGACCCACATGCTTCTTGTCACTTTTAAACTCCTACCACAGCCTTTCCCCCAAAACCTTGGGTTTTGTGCCTAATTTATTTCTCACGTTTACTTTAAGCTTGGAGTTTAAGAAGAGAGTTGCATGGGGTGACCCAAACTGTTGCCCCATTGACCACGCTTTGGGGTCCCCAGCCCTTCCTGCTGTTGGGATAGATTCAGGCTGCCATTTCCACTTCTTTCCTTTCCTTTCTCTTGAGATAGACTGGCCACAGGCCTCTCGGCCTTTTGATGCCAGAATCCTATAGCCCCTCAGTCTTTCTGGCTTTCTCTGTGCTCGTTATCCTATGTGGCCATGTCCCCAGACACTCGTGTCTCTGTGCCTCTGGCAGTGGGCATGTACTTTTAAAAGGGTGACCATTTTCTCAGTGGTCCTTCAAGCTTGTACTGAGACGACAGAAGTACCCAGGCCCCAGGCTCCTCTTTGTGGCTTGCCTTCCGTTATGGTGCTATGGAATACTCGTGGACTCTGATTTGCTATCACATCACACGTTCCTTGGGCTATAATCCTCCATCTGCCTGGGAGGATATGAGATGAATTCTCTGTAGTGGCCCCATGATCCTATTGTGATGTTGAAAGTAACTATGTGAACTTTAGTAGTACCTGGACTGGGCTCCAACTGGGACCTACCCTGTACTTGAGGTGCAGAGCTGAGATCTGAACCTAGGCATGTGGTCTCCAAGGACAGTTCCTACCATGATTCTCCAGGCCTGCTTTGGATGCATGAAGAACTGAGAGGCTGGCCCAGCAGCATTAGAAGTGCGATATGGGTGGCAATCCAGAATGGATGACCCAGACAGAGCAAACGGTACTCTGTGTGCCGTGTGACACCAGTGGGTCATGGCAGTGAAGGCCACCTCGCTTAGCAAGCAGTAATATTCACCAAGCTCACATTTCAGCAGTGCCCCCAGATCCTAGAGCAGTCTCCCCATCACAGGCCAGAGCTTCTGCCAGGAACCACCAAGGCAGGAAGTCAGAAGTCACCAGAGACCAGCAGTGACTCCTTGCTGGCCACCTGTGTGGGCTTCTGAAGACAGCTGTGTCTCCCTTCCACTGATGGTCTGGCTCTGCCCCCTCTGCAGAAGCCAGAGCAAGGACAAAGCAGAGGCTGAAGAGGCTGTACCTCTGCAGACAAGGTCAAACTCCCACCTGATGGCGGCAGCTGTGTGCAGGCCAGGCATGCCTGCACTCTTGTAGGAGGGTGCGCAGGGTCTCTTCTAAGAGAGCCATTTATCACCAGAGCTCTTCAGGGTCAAGTGTCCGCTGGTTCCTAAGCACTTGCTCTGCACAGGGGCAGGTGTCTGTTTTATGTGAACCGTATTTCCATGGGAAATAAATTTTAAGAATTCCCAAAGGACAGACAGTGTCACCAACAGCAGGGAGTGGAGCCTCTGGTTGCCTCATGTTTGAAAGCGTTAAAAATGAAGACAACATTGACATTTGGGGTTGCAATGTGACGGGATTACAGTCTTTTAAAGGCAAGAACTACTTATCTCCACAGCATGTAATATTCAGTGTTTTGTTCACTTGTCTAATTGGATTAAAATATTTAGCTCCCTTTAAAAACTCGATTGTGAATTTATATTGCAAAATGTAATGTCTAACTCAGAAAGCAATAAGAGGAGCAAATGCATCAGAAGCAATATAAAATTCAACATTTTCCATCCACGATTCCTATTCTGGAAGTATGCATTTTTGGACAAAGGGAGCCGTTCGAACAGGCCTGCCTTACTTAGATGGAGCCTGGTGTACTTTTCAGTACTAAGGACACACACGGCGCCTAGATGAACAACTAAGCTAAGTGCATGCTGTTTCAGATGCTTGGGAAAGTCTCTGTGAGATTTGCAGACCCTTATGTTAGAAGTGCAGCCTGGGGTCTTATGTCATTCTCTAAAACACCCAGCAGCAGGGAGTTAATGACATCTTAGCTGCATATGTTCAAGTTGATTTAAAAAAATATGCAAGTCACTTTGGTTGACAGTGTCTTGTACACAGTTTTGAAAGAATCAGGGCAAACTTTAACAGAGTCAGTTTTTATTTGAAAAATATTTTCTGGGAATGTATCAGTGTTTATTTTTGAGACTGACAATTCGGGTGAAAATCAGGATAAAAACAAAAAAACAACAATTTGGTTGAAATCAAATTGTTTGTTTTCATCTATTTAGAACTCTTTCCAAAAAATCCTGGTTTCAGAGGAGGCTTTGTAATTTATTTTATTTAGTGTATTTTCTGTTCTAGTCATAAGACACCATCTGTCTTACAGGTAGTTAACTGTGTGTGGGCCCTGAAGTGCACTAGGCAAGGCCCCTGGGTTCAGGAAGGACAAATTAAGAGTGACCACCTCTAGGTCCCCACTTTGGTTACCAGCTCCCTAGTAGCCAGTGTGTCTGGGAGACGGTCACTTGAGCTGCCCATCCCAGCTTCCATCCTGTGTCTGCTGGTTACAAGCAGGCCTCTCCTCCCCAGCATCTCCTCCTGTGTCTGCTGGTTACAAGCAGGCCTCTCCTCCCCAGCATCTCCCTCCTGCTTGTTTTCAGCTCTATTCACCGAGTCCTCTGGTGGAATGAGATAATGTCGAAGATCTTGAATATAATCACATATGGCTGCTGGATCCCTGCACAACTTTAAATCAAATTAGAAAGTGCATTTGCTGCCAAGAATGCTTAAAAGTCATAGGGCCAAGAGATGAGCCCCTGACACGGCAGCTTCCGACTGTTTTCTAAACTGTGAGTGATTCCTAAGAAGGGACTCAGGGAATCCCTCCCCAGCCTGAATGCTGAGGACTCAACAGGCAGCCTGCGCAGGGTGACAGCTATTGGTGGATGCCAGGCAGCTGAAAGCAGAGTCACTACCCAGTAACTCCCAAACTCATCTTGATGGGGAACAGCCCTCCAAGTAGACAGACCATTTGTGTTTTCTTCAGTCTCCCAGACCCAAGGACAGACTCGGGTTTCCTCACCAGCTGCCTCCACCCTTCCTGGCCAGATGCTAGAGTCTCTGGGCTTGGGCTGCTGACCCCTGACCCTGCTCCAAGCTGTCAAGCCTTGTCTAGTACCCCTGGGCCCCATCACCCTCACCTGCAAGCCATCTCCACACTACTACTATGGCATTTTGGCCTCCCCAGCCAGGCAAGTCTGCCAAGGAGAGAGGATGGGTAGCTGGTCCAGCCCTCACATGAGAGTCAGGCTGTGAGAGAGCTCAGGCTACTGCCATGATAAAAAGATTAAGCTAGTATGGTCATGCCCACACAGGCAATCATTTGATGGCCGTCTAGAGGCCCGTTTCTAAAAGTTCCTTTCAGTGTGAGTCAGGAAGTTGAGAGCCCCATTTCCAGTCACTCCTGCATTCGGAGCGCACTGCAGACCAGCTAGAGGGTCATCCTGCACTCGGGACAGTGACTTCCCTGCCACACAGCAGCTGTGTAAGATCTCCAGCCGCAAGTGGCATTGGCACATGGTCACAACCAGGACCGGTTTCCTCCATGGGCATGAGGCTGTGTGACTCAAAATCTAAACAGAAGCCATTTAGAATAATCAAGGCTTAGAAACAAGGCATTTCCTGTTGGGGCCCACCCTTCCTCCTCTGCATAGGCCAGGACTTAGGACATAGAGCCAATCTGGGGGACGTGACGAAGCTCCCAAGCAGCTGTCTGGTCAGAAAATGCTCATTCTCTTTTGGGTACTGAGCAGACAGATTTTCAGAGTTGGACATGCAAAATTAAGCGATTATGCTTAATTCATCCAGGCTGAGAAAATGGAAGCCTTCACCCTCACCATGGCCACACTGCACACGCAGGCGCTGTAAGCCTCAGATGCCCCCCAGTCCAGATGAGAACAGGGCAAGGCACAGCTGTCCCCTCCAGGGCCCCCAGGAACCACTCCCCTACCAGTCAGTCAAACTTTGGCCTTCTTACTTCAAGGGTTCCTTTAAAAACTCAGTTTATTATAATTCATGTTTATTTTAAGACAAAAATGCCTCACAGAGGCCCCCAAGTGCCAGCACACAGGGACCAGTGCAACACTTGTGCCAGAAGAGCAGACTCTGGGTTTAGAGACTGAGCACAGCTTGTAGAACCAGACTGGCCTCTCGAACTGTTCCCAGCATTTGCTACTGGGAGCCAACATTATCTCTGCCAAATTTCTTGCATCTTGGTCATCTTAAAAATAACTCCCAAGATAGCATTTCAGTATAAGAAGCCCCTTCAGAAATGCTCCAGATAGACCAGTATCGGAGAGCAAGGGGCAGACAAGTCATTTCTGTTGTCACTGGTAAGGGAAGAAAGGCTTTTTCCTGTAACGTTTTTTTTAAAATGCATTCTGTGCAAATCCTGCAATGAATCTGGCAATTCTCAGGCTTTTAAGGTCCAGGAAACAGCTTCTAAATATCTCTGTTCCATGTTAAGATGTGTGTGTGCAGGTGAAGGCAGGTGAGAAAGGAAGCACCCCTCATGTGAGAGGAGGCCCAAAGTCCACAGAGGGACAGGCTCGTTCACCATGGATCCCAGTCCTCCATCACAGGTGATGGAGGCCCAGTCAATAAAGGTGACTTTGTTGACTTTGGACTTGGATTAGCCAGATCTCCCTCAGATCTGCCCACGGACCTGGGTTATGACCAGAATCAGGCTCCTCAGCTGAGAGATGGGACTCTGCACTGGGCACATCAAATGGTCCTGTCACTGCTGGCTCTCTAGGACCTCCTCCAGAAGGAGAGAGGGTGACCTCAAGTATGGGATACTTCAGCCTGCTAAGTCCCCGAGGTCCCGATGAGTATGCCACTGCCCTTGTCGCCCAGCTCCCCTGATTCCCATGGTGCCCATGGGGACAAAAGCTCCGAGAGCCCTGGGTGACCTGCTCAATGTCTTCCAATAGAGCTGTTCCTGGCTCTCACACCAAACTAAGATGTCCTTTATGGCTTTCTTTCCACTTATCCCAACAGCTTGTAAATGGAGGCCCATGGGTCCTGCTTTCAGACATGCCCAGGAGTGTCAGGGATCACCAGAATCTCTCGTCCTCCCCTCTCTGTGTTTACACACATTCTAGACCATTGTCAGTGCATGGTGAGCTCCTGCCGGCCTATGACCCTCTAGCCCTCCAGTCCATATTTCTACTCATTGCCAAAGCCCTCTGCCTGGTGTCCAATTTGGCTCCTTCACAGCTGTGAACTCCAAGCAATTTATAGAGGGACTGAGCAGGCTGAGGTTCAAGGCAGGTCAGGATTATCAGCTCCAGGTCATTTTGAATGGAGAATGAGAACAGTCTTTCATCCCTTCATTTCCAAATGCTTCCCCACTAATCATAGCAAGCAATTGGCACTCGAAGTTCCTTAGAGCCCTCTCAGAGTACCTGGGTGCTCCAATTAAAGGCAGGAGCCACCCACAAGTCTAGCAGCCACCTCTTGGTCTTAAATTGCTTGATGGGGCAAAAACAACAGACAAACAAAAACCCCTCTCTGGTGTAAGGAGAAACTGTTGAAGAACAGTAGTTTTGTGCCATCCATCCAACTCACCTGGACTCTTCCGCCATTATCTAACCTGAAGGGGACAGCTTGGGCTCTGGAGTCAGACTTAGATTCCATTTGCTGTGCCCCTATTTGCTAGCTGAATATGCTTGTTTGAGCCTCAGTTTCCCTATCTGCAAAATGGAGACAATAATATCAATCTTGCTGGCTTGCTTAACTGGCAGAGTGAATGTCTAGGCTTCCTGCCGTCGTCGTTCCCCACCCCCAGACCCATTGTTACTGAATTTACTGAATTAGGATAGGACATCTGATTCTATTCACAAGACCTTCCCTTCTGGGAACCTCTTCCTTCGACTGGTAAAGACCTCCAGTCCTCAGGGACAGTTCACAGCTGTCTCCTCCACATGCTGGGCCTGACCCCTGCTGTCCCCCTTCCCCACTGCATGGTGTGGCTGCCTTAGGTATGACTGGGTGATCCCTGTGCCTAAGGCTGATGGGAGACAAGCCTGGGTCACACTTTTCCATGCTCATTCCAATTGGCAGCCCCTCCCTCCCAGCTTATGACTTGACCCATGTGATCAGCAGGGGTTTGGGGCTGTAACCGTGCAGCCTAGAAAAGGGGAAGGAGAGGGTTCATGTGCGCTGCCACACTGCACTAGGCCACCCTATCCTGGAGCTATAGTGGGCTTTGTGCGTGCTCTCGAAATGGTCCTGGCCTGAACTTAGCCCATCGTGGTCCCTGTGTGCACTCCCACTCTGCACTGGGAAACTCGGTACTTGGGCTGCAGCTCATCTCCTACGTCCTCCCACCCTACCTGGGCCCGCAGACGGTCCACCTCCTCTGACAGGTTCTGTCGCTCCAGGAGAAGCTGATTCTGCTTGTTGAGCAACTGCACCAGCTGCTGGGCTGTGGCCTGGCCATGCTTATCCAGCTGCCTGAGTCTGCAGAAAAGAATTGGAGATGGGTTCTGAGAGCTGGTTGCTTTGGAGAGCACAGAGAACAATGGCAGGTGTTAGCTCCGTCAATTATATGTGGTAGCATCCCAGTGCTATGACAAATACTTAAGAAGAAATGGCTTGTTTGGCCTCTGTCTTTTTAAGTTTCTGCCCATGATTAGTTACCTGCATTGAGCCCACAATTGCTTAGCTGTATCGCTCTGGGTCTGTGGCAGAGCAGCTTCCCGTGTTCAGGCATAGGCGGTAAAAGAAGTCCGCACTTCAAGGAGGACGGGAAATGCAGAGAGGAAAACCCTTGGCTAGCACTGGGGCCACTGGCCAGGACTTGGCAATCTAGATCGCCTTCTAGCCAATGACCAGGGACGCAGCAGTCAGCCTCACAAGTTCTTGGTTAGAAAACACATAGGGGAGTGAGTATAGAGGAAAAGCTGAGGCCTTAGACTCCTAAGCAGAGGTAAAAAAAAATGAGGGGCCTCGGTGCCTCCATTGTTCATCTGCTGGGGCAGATTGCAGTCTGGCTAGGGATGGGGTGAAGCTCCAGAAACCCTGAACTAAGGGCTTTCCATTATAATCCCTGTCAGTCACAGGCTGTGGCACTGCTGACCAGATGTCTTCAAAGATCCTAAATTTGTCGTTCTGCTGATAGGCTCTCCTCCCCAGACTTGCTAATTCACTCCAGCCATTATCCTCATCTGTCCAGACAGCCCATGCAGTCGCTAGCACATGTGCCCATGGAAGGCAGCTCTGGGTTAAATTTAGAGCTGCTCTGGACAGAGAGGCGCAGCGCACTCTTCCTTGACCTCCACAGTCAGGGGCAGCGCTACCGAGCAACCCCACGTGCGGCATTGGATGTCGCGAGCTCCACGTGCAGTTCCAATGCCAGCCTCCTGTACCCGGTGGCACCTGCATGCAGCTGCTGACCAGGAGACCCCTCATTTCAGGCTCTCCTCAGGCAGTGCTTCTGGTGGGCTCCAGCACAGGCAGCATTACAGAGCCACGCCTTAAGTAAGGCCTTGGGACATTTTGTTTACTAATGTCAACTGGCTATAAGCAAAATGCATTTCTGGGAACCTGGCAACAGTCGAGTATTTTACACACCCACAAACACACAGGGACACAGACACAATGCAAAGCATGGTACAACCTGCCCCCGTCTGCCCTTCTCTGCATACACTCGACTGACTGGCCGGAGTCACTGCCTCAGAGTTCCAGCCCCGTCTCCTCCTGCCAACACTTAAGTTAGCTCCCCACTTGCACTCACACCAGGCCAGGGGGCTTCTCAGCTGCAGCATCCTGCTGTGCCAGATGAGCAAGGAAGGCAGAGCAGACTGCGCACACATGCACACACGCACACATGCATGCACGCACGCACAGTGCCCCCTCCCCAGGCTTCCATGGTCCTTTGCTATTGTTCAGATGATGAAGGACCAAGGGGCCTAGCTTGGCTTCCTCCCCAGTTGCCCCATCAAACCGGAGCAATGGCTCACTGCCCAATAAGGGTTTCCTGCCAGTGTCTGTACTACATCCTTCCTCTGCCCTTGGAGAAGGAAAACTCAAGTTTCCCTGAGTAAAGCCACCAGCACTCAGCACTGAGATGCCCGCATGCCTCCACTCCAACGCAATGTCGGAGGACCTGGTTTTCCGGGGGACCATTCTCTGTGCTAATCCACGAGGGGACAGACCTGCCTGGAGCTTGTGTGGACTGCTTTGCCTGGAGTACTGCTACCCCGGCACTCTGCAGACTCTTACACACATCCCTATCTTTGCAGCACCCTGCGCTGCTGGAGCCCTTGGAGTGGCTCCCACAGGCCACTGACTTGTTTTTCTGAGAAGCAGTTAACTGTCCCGTGCTCGGTCAGGCACTGAGAAGCACCATGGTGAGCAACTGGGCGGCATAACCCCCAAATGGCTTCCCTCAGATTCAGTGCTATGGAGGTCGTGGCTTTGGGCTTCCTGCCTCTGAGAACAAGCGGGACAAGAACATGAGTTAATGAGCAATCTCTAAGCCTGGCAGGGAGGTGGCAGTTCGTGGAAGGCAGACGCCAACGATGGCTGAGCACAGGGGCTTCCGGCATCAGCACCGGCCTGGAGGGGTGGTCCCGAGATTGAAACCCTGACCCCCTCCCTCCCGGAAGGAGGCATTCCTCCACCCAAGCCTCTCTTTGCTCAGGCTGGTCTCAAACTCACTGGCTCAAGGTTCAAGCCATGCTCCTGCCTCTGTCCCCAAGTGGCTGTTGCTCTAACTGCACACCTGTGCACCAGGATTGGCTAATGGTTCAAACCCACTCGATCACTCAGTGAAGCTGCTCTCCGGTATGATTTTCCCCCATTAAAGAAATAAGAACAATGGGCCCCCTTCTGTTTGGGGGGGCAGCTCATATACTGTCATTTCATATACAGCAAGGAAGTCAGACCCAGAAACTTAAAAAGATTTATTAGTTATGTACACAGAAGAGGGCACCAGATCTCATTACAGATGGTTGTGAGCCACCATGTGGGTGCTGGGAATTGAACTCAGGACCTCTGGAAGAGCAGTCGATGCTCTTAACCTCTGAGCCATCTCTCCAGCCCCCGAGTGGATGCTTTCTTACCATCAGTCGGAGGCAATTTCTTGGACAGTTTTATAGACAAAGCAGCTCTATTTCAGATTTCCTGGTATGGGTCTTTTACTCCTGTTTTGATAACCAAAGTTGGCAGCTGATGGCGGCCACCAGGGTTTGCTGAGCCCGTGTGTGCGACTCCACACCGGTTATTCAGTTAGAACTGTGGAGTCACCACTCCCATTTTACAGATGGGAAAACTGAC